TCTAGAGTCTGCTCTGATCTCAGCACTGTCTTCCAGTCTCAGCCCATTAAGCTCTGCTTATAGCATTCGACTACTTTTCTAGTCCAAAGTTTAAAAATCTTCCAGGTTCCTCAAACAAAACAAATGCACGTTCAGATTCTTAGCAGCACCAGCCCACACTAACACCAGTTGTTTCTGTCACAGTTACTTCTCTGTTGCTGTGATAAAACACCATGGCCAAAGCAAATTATAGAAGGAAGAGTTTACTTTAGTTTATGGTTCCAGAAGTTTAGAATCTGTAATAATAGGGATAGCATGGGCAGCAGTCAGCAGGCATGGCAGTAATAACAGGAAGCAGAGAACCTCACACAGAAAGCAGAGAGAAAAAACTGTAAGTGGCACGGAGTCTTTATAAACTCTCAGAGCCCGCCTCCAGTGATGCACTTCCTCCAAAAAGCCTACACGTCCTAAACCTCCCCAAACAGCACAATAGTGTTCAGACATCTGAGTCTATGGGAGATATTCTCATTCACACCACTACTGCTCCCTGGGCCTGATAGTGTCTCCTGGTAGATGAGAGGGCTGGTGTGGTTTGGATTCTAGTCCTGGGGCCCAAAGCTGTGACAGCGAGTTGACAATGTAGAGCAGTGGTTCTCAACCTGTGGGTTGTGACCCTTTGGGGGGTTAGCTTATCAGATATCCTACATATCCAATATTTACATTACAATTCATAACAAATTTTAGTGACAAATTATAGTTATGAAGTAACAATGAAATACCTTTATGGTTGGGGGTCTCCACAACATGAGGAACTGTATTGAAGGGTCACAGAATTAGGAAGGTGGAGAACCACTGATGTAGATAGTGGTGATGAGTTGGCTTCTACCCCCATATAGCATGCTGGCAAGGTCCAGAGAGACTGTCCTCCAGTGAGAGTATCAAGTTTCTAGATTCTCTTCACCTAATCATCATTGCCAAGAACTGTTTGATTCAACTAGACTAAGTAATTCCCTTTGTGATTGGTAAGAACACATACCCCATGTAGATCACTGCCATTTCCATTCCTTAATGCTTGACAAAGCCCGGGCTGAATGCCTCTTCCTCCTCAAAGCATCTTTTCTTTCTCTCTTCCTTCCATCCTTGCTTCCCTCCTTCCTTCCTTCTTTCCTTCCTTCCTCCCTTCCTTTCTTTCTTCCTTTCTTTCTCTCTCTTTCTTTTTCTCTATTTCTTTCTTTTTTCTCTCTCTTTTTCTCTTCCCCCCTCTTTCTTTCTCTCTTTTTCTTTCTCTTTTTTCAATTTTCTCTCTCTCTCTCTCTCTCTCTCTCTCTCTCTCTCTCTCTCTCTCTCTCTCTCTCTCTCTCATCTATCAATCTACCTACCTATCTGTTCTTTGAGAATTTCATACATGTATAAAATATATTTTGGTCATGTCCACCTATCACCTCCCCTCTCCTCCTTCTGGACCCCTCTTCCATTTCCCTTACAGCTTCACACCCTCTTCTTTGTTTTCTATCCCTGTGAGTCCAATTAGTGCCGCCCTGTGCATGTGGATGTAGGGCTGTCCACTGGATCATAGGAATCCACTAGGGGCCACACTCCTGAATAAAACTGACTCTCTCCCCCGGCAGCCATCATCACCTGACAGTAGCTCTTCAGGTAGAGAAGAGAGTTCTTGGGTCTCTCCCTAATCCACGCTGAAATTGTGGCTGGTTTCATCTAGTGCAGGTCTTGTACATGCTGTCACAGCTGCTGAGAGTTCATGTATGTGACAGCCCTGTCATATCCAGAAAACACTTTGCAGTATCTCTCCACTACCTCTAGTTCTTACAGTATTTCTGCACTCTCTTCCATGATGATCCCTGAGTTTGGGGGTAGGAAATGTGATCCAGATTTACATTTAGGGCTGAGTCCTCCGCAGTATCTTATTATCTGTGCATTCATCAGTTGTGAGTCTCTGTATTAATTACTGTCTAGTGCAAAAAGAAGCTCTAATGAGGCTTGAGAGCTTCACTGATCTATGAGTACCAAGGTAAGTACGTAGAAAGCAGTTTAGTATGAAACCCATTCAGCAAAAGAATAGTAGTAGGTTCTCTCCTAAGGTCTGTGGTCTTCCCCAGACATTGGTTTTTGGTCAAGACAACTTTTCTGAGCCCAGGGATTATTCTACCTTTTAAATTTATCTACAGGCTCATTAAAGCCAGCCTGGGCTACACACCAAGCTCAAGGAGAGCCAGAACTATGTAGAGAGACCCTGTCTCAAAAAAAACCAAGAACAAACAAACAAACAGAGGCTATTCTTTTTTTTTTTTTTTTTTTTTTTTCCGAGACAGGCTTTCTCTGTGTAGCTTTGTGCCTTTCCTGGGACTCAATTTGTACAGCCCAGGCTGGCCTCCAACTCACAGAGATCCGCCTGCCTCTGCCTCCCAAGTGCTGGGATTAAAGGCGTGCGCCACCACCGCCTGGCTCAGAGGCTATTCTTTAAGGCCTACATTATGCTCTTATCTTCAGACTTCTGTAGGTAAGATTCTCTCCCTACTAGTCTGTGAGCTCTCTAAAGCAAGGACTGAGAGTCCTCTTCTTGGCTTGGCCTGATGCACTGACAATAGTGTTTGCCACTTACTGAATGTTCAGAGAGGTTTAAAATAAAATATGAATTCCGCATCGAGCAATACAATTTCATGAATAGCTTCACTGCTGTTAGCCCCCTCCCCAATATCATAATGTCAGTCCTATTAGTGATTTCAAGGCTAGTGTGAGAAGATTAACACTATGAAAAGTAAGGAATTGAGATATAGGATGGGCCCATATTCTTATTACTACATGAGACACAGAATTCTGGGTGATTGTATGCTTAGTGCTGAGGGTACTGTCAGTTACAGAGCTGAGTTTGTAGTGTATAATGTCAAGATGTATTTCATAGAGAAATGGATAACCTGAGAAAAGAGCAATTCATATATCTTCACTGAGAAGATCAGATGAGCTTTTCTCTCATCTCCAAACCAGAGATCATCTTACTCTGGTTGCTTAGCAAAGTGCTCTTAATGGAACTGGGGTTGCTCTGATGATTTAAGTGTGTCAAACTAGGTGAGGTACCAGACACAACCTTGTTTGGGAGATAGGAACCTAGGTGCTAGGAGAGGCTCTAATGAAATCGCAGGCTAGAGTATTGTTGCTAGTTCCTCTTCGGCCCCAGTGCTGGACTACAGTATACTACTGCAGATAACTGTGTGGCTCGTAGTTATGTGGCATCCAGTCACTGGACCAGTGTTCTGGCCAGCTAGTCCTAGGACTGCTGCAGTCTCAGTCCTTCCTTCTCTTCCTCTCCCTGGTTCTAGCCTCTTGCTCTCTCAATCCCAGCAACTGTTCTGTCTCCCTTTGCCACCCTAGATCTACAAAGAGGGTCCAGAGAGGGGAGGGGATTCCTAAGGAGGGATCATTGGGTTTCTGCAGGCTCTTCAGTGCGTTAGCTGTCAGATGTTTACTGTCACTGGAAAACACTAGACTTGTCAGAGACTAAGGGAATGGTGAGGTTGGTATAGAAGGTGGTTAACCCTTCTTTTTATTCCACTTCTATTGGCACTTGGACTAGGAAACCTTGACCAGAATGGTGCGGATTACACAGTTTATTTATTTAAATAGCGCTTGATGGCCTGTATCTTAGACTAGGAGCATAAATCATGTAGCATTGTATGCTTTCAAGCTCCCTTTCTAGATAGAAAACTAGATGGGGACCAAAATAGTGAGAGGAACAGAGTAGAAGAAAATGTTTGCCTTGTGACTCTACAGTAGAATCTGGTGGTTATGCTTGCCAAGGACAAAATTAAAATCTCCTGCCAGCAGGACAGTCAATAGAGAGTCTGATCCTGACCTCTCCCTGCTGTGGGATGTCTTTCTGTATACTGTGAATATATGTTGTTCCCATTGGTTAATAAATAAGCTGCTTTGGCCTATGGCAAGGCAGCTTAGAGGCAGGTGGGAAATCCAAGGAGTGAGACAGGAAACAGAACGGTGGAGTCTGGAGAGACTCTAGCCTGTCACCCAAGGAGCAACATGCCAGCAGACTGGTAAAGCAATGGAACACATGGCAAAACACAGATTAATAGAAATGGATTAAGATATAAGATAGCAAGAGGCCTGCCATAGGCCATACAGTTTGTAAATAATATTAAGCCTCTGAGTGATTATTTTATAAGCGGCTGAGGGACTGTGGGGCCGGGCAGGACCTGAGAAAACTTACGGCTACGTCTCTCTCACATAGTCTCTCCAAGGGCTTTAGGTACATAGCTCTTGGTAGGCCTTCTGGACAGGGGATACTAAAGCCCAAAGGATATTTTCCTGAGGCTTCCATGTCATTTTGCAGGTCCTACATGACAGCCCTGATCTGCAACTCAATGGTGTTCCTTCGCTGGGGTCCAGAAAGTTTGGCCATTGTCCTAGTGGCAGTTAAGAGAACCTGTGGGCAGAAGATAACACTGGAGATATGTTTTTCTTCCTGGCCCTGAGAAAAATGTTGGTGATAGTCCAGGCTAATGTTTAACTGAAGCCTGGATCCAGTAGGGCCCAGTGAAGGCTCAATGATTACCTTCACCACACCATTTTCAAAACTTCAGTGATGCTAGAAGCAGCATTCCTTTCCCTCCATTCCTTTCCTGATCCTAACCCAATAATTAATAAGCTTCCTTATAGACAATAGCACAATTGGACTTTTGCTCAGCTACAATTGCCTCTGTCAAATTTCCTCCCCGTACTTAACATCAGCGTAAAGGGTGTAGACTAGTGAGGAGGCAGCTAATGATAGCTGCCTGTTGCTCAGTGTGGGGTTTTACTGCTGTGGGGCCCAGAAGAAGCCAGACCAGCAAACCAAACATAGGGACTAGATTAAGGTTTTACCAGTGTTTACTTATTTTCTCTCTGGTCCCATTCAATCCTTAGACAATAGCCACCCATGGAGACAAACCCAGCCTGTTGTGTACTTGCTCACCAGTATCTGTCTCTGTCTTTGTCTCTCGTATCTCCCTCAGACCCAGCTGTGATGCTCCCTGACTGATCATGTTATAACTCTACCTGGAATCCAAAGGCTGCGTTTCCAGTTGAAGAGCTGTCACCAGCATGGAGACTCCAAAGGACGAAGCTGTTCAGATCAAGGGAGCATCAGCCTCTAGAGATGCCCAAGACCAGGGAGCTGAAAAGGGAGCCAAGAACAAGACACCTGAGACAACAGAAGGACCAGCCTCAGAGCCACCCTTATCAGGCCCAGGTAGGCTGAAGAAAACTGCCATGAAACTCTTTGGTGGCAAGAAGGGAATCTGTACTCTGCCTAGTTTCTTTGGGGGAGGACGAAGCAAAGGTTCTGGGAAAGGCAGCTCTAAGAAGGGTCTAAACAAGAGTAAGACCCATGATGGCCTGAGTGAAACAGTTCATGGCCCTGAAGATGTTGTCATTGAAGAAACAGGCCTCTCTGTACCTTTGTCCAAGTCCCCTCAATTTCCTAGCTCCCAGAGTGCCCATGGAGCTTTGGAGATAGGCTCTAAACATAAGACATCTGGGACTGAAGCCACAGAGAAAGCTGGAGTTGAAAAGGTACCCTCTGTGCAGAAGCCTAAGAAAGGTCTAAAAGGCTTTTTTAGCAGCATCCGCCGTCACCGCAAGAGCAAGGTTTCTGGGGCTGATCAAAATGGGCTAGGGGCAAAGGAACTTGAGGGGGCCAGAACCAGGTCTCATGAGCATGTGAGTTCAACCTCTCTGCCCAGCTCTGAGGAGATATTCCAAGCTGCTAGAAAGGAAAATGCCAAACCCCAGCATACTCCTGAACCAAAAACTTCTCCAGCACTAGAACATTTTTCACCAACTACTGAGAAGACAGCCTGTAAAAATCCAGAAAAACTCATGAAGACCCGTGCCTCAGAGTTCATACAGTCCAAGCCTACTCCTGAAGCTAGTAGCCTTGAGGAGCCCCACACTTCAGAATCAGAAGAAAAGGTAGTGACTGGAGAGGTAAACCCACCCAATGGCCCTGGTGGGGATCAGCTAAGCCTCCTGTTTGGGGATGTCACATCCCTAAAAAGCTTTGACTCACTGACAGGTTGTGGTGACATTATAGCAGAACAAGATATGGACAGCATGACAGATAGCATGGCCTCTGGTGGCCAGAGGGCCAACCGAGATGGGACCAAGCGAAGTTCCTGCTTGGTCACCTACCAAGGAGGTGGGGAGGAGATGGCCTTGCCAGATGATGATGACAATGAGGAAGAAGAGGATGAGGAGGTAGAATTAGAGGATGAGGAAGAGGAGGTCAAAGATGGGGAGGAAGATGGTGACTTAGAGTATCTCTGGGCAAATGCCCAGATGTACCCAAGATCTAATCTGAACCTGGGCTACCATACTGCTACATCCCCCAGCCACCAGGGCTACATGCTCATTGACCCAGTTCAGTCTTATCCTAGCCTAGGCCCTGGAGAACTTTTGACTCCTCAGAGTGACCAGCAAGAGTCTGCTCCCAATAGTGATGAAGGTTATTATGACTCTACCACACCAGGGTTTGAGGATGATTCAGGTGAGGCTTTGGGGCTTGTCCATAGGGATTGTCTACCCAGAGACAGCTATAGTGGTGATGCCCTATATGAATTCTATGAGCCAGATGACAGTGTTGAGAACTCCCCACCTGGGGATGACTGCCTTTATGACCTCCGTGGTCGCAGCTCCGAGATGTTTGGTTCTTTCTTGAATTTTGAACCCTTTTCTTCCCGGCCACCTGGAGCAATGGAAACAGAGGAAGAACGGCTAGTGACCATCCAGAAACAGTTGCTATACTGGGAGCTTCGCCGGGAGCAGCTTGAGGCTCAAGAGGCGTGTGCTAGAGAGGCTCACGCCAGGGAAGCCTATGCTCGAGATACCCACACTCGGGAATCTTACGGCAGAGATGTCCGAACCCGAGAAGCCCAGGCCCGAGAGGTTCATGCTCAAGAGGGTCGAGTCCGAGAGACCCAGGTCAGACATGAGAAGCCTGTCTTGGAGTATCAGATGAGGCCCTTAGGCCCATCAGTGATGGGCCTCGTGGCAGGGAATTCAGGAGCTTCTCAGACTTCCCACCGGGGAACCACCTCAGCTTTCCCTGCCACTTCTAGCAGTGAACCAGACTGGCGGGATTTCCGCCCTCTGGAGAAGCGTTTTGAGGGCACTTGCTCCAAGAAAGATCAAAGTACGTGTTTGATGCAGCTCTTCCAGAGTGATGCCATGTTTGAGCCAGACATGCAAGAAGCAAATTTTGGAGGCTCTCCCAGGAGGGCCTACCCTAGTTACTCACCCCCTGAGGAGCCAGAGGAAGAAGAAGATGAGAAGGAAGGGAATGCCACAGTGAGTTTCTCACAGGCCTTAGTAGAGTTTACCAGCAATGGAAACCTTTTTTCCAGCATGTCCTGCAGCTCTGATTCTGACTCATCCTTCACTCAAAACCTTCCTGAGCTGCCCCCGATGGTCACCTTTGACATTGCTGATGTGGAACGGGATGGAGAAGGCAAGTGTGAAGAGAATCCTGAGTTCCACAATGACGACCTCACAGCCTCCTTGGAAGCTTTTGAGCTGGGTTATTACCACAAACATGCCTTCAACAGCTATCATAGTCGATTCTACCAAGGCCTGCCCTGGGGTGTTAGCAGCCTCCCTCGATACTTGGGGCTCCCTGGCATACACCCCCGACCTCCACCTGCTGCAATGGCACTCAATAGGAGAAGCCGTTCCCTTGACAATGCAGAGACCCTAGAGCTGGAGCTCTCCAGTTCTCACCTAGCCCAGGGTTACTTGGAGTCTGATGAGCTACAGCCCCACCAGGAAGATTCAGATGAAGAAGGCGACGAAGAGGAAGGAGAATGGGGCCGAGACAGTCCCTTGTCCCTCTACACTGAACCTCCAGGGGCCTATGACTGGCCTACCTGGGCTCACTGTCCTCTTCCATTGGAGCCAGACCCTGCTTGGATAAGCCCCAGTCAGTTGGATGAGCCTTTCAATCAGTCTTCATATGGGCAGGCACCCTGTTGCGTACCTCCTGTGGCAATGGCAATGTCAGTGCCAGGGCTCCCAAGGGCACCTGGAGACTCTCTGTCTCAGCTAGCTCGACCTTCACACCTACCCCTGCCCATGGGTCCTTGCTATAACCTTCAATCGCAGGCCTCCCAAAGTGTGAGGGCCCGGCCTCGGGATGTACTGATGCCCGTAGATGAACCCAGTTGCACCTCCATTTCTGGAGCCAACTCTCTGTCTCAAGCCAAGCCTGTAGGCATCACCCATGGTATCCCTCAGCTGCCCAGGGTGCGGCCTGAACCCCTTCAGCTTCAACCCAGTCACTACAGAGCTTCCAACCTTGACCTGTCGAAGGAGAGGGGCGAGCAAGGTGCCTCTTTCTCTACCAGCTACTCCACTGCCATGAATGGAAACCTAGCCAAGTAGTTATCAGTTCCAGAGTGGAGACCTGAGCATGTGAATGGGGGTCAGGGGTTGGGCAGAGGGGTGGGGGTGGGGGTTGCTCTTTAACTTGAAAATCCCTTTGGCCAAGATAAACTCTTCTGAGTTTTCACTTTGTTTTCCCACCTCCCTCTGCCATCTTTGGCCAGGTTCAGCCCAAGTACATCTGCCTAGGGAAGCTGCTGCTTCTGTGCTCTGGTTTTTGCTTTGGGGTTTCTTCTGACCTATATAGGGCTTGAGATGCATCCTTATTGCAGGCTGAACCCCTCTTCTCTGGTCCCTTGTTGACAAATGAACCACTGATGAGCAGCCAATTTTTGCACTGACTCTCACCCAGAGATGGGAGGCTTTCTGGCTATTAGCAATATAAAGTTATGGTACATATCCTTCCTAACCCTCTTTCCATCACATCAAATGACTATAACCTATCTATTCCAGTTAGTTATGTTTAGAGTGGATCAAGTAGCATGTGTCTCGCTCCCTATTGCTGTGGACTTTGGTATTACAGCTAGATGATGTCCTTTTAACCTGGCCTGACATAGTCTAGATTGAAGACAAAAACACTAATCCCCATAATGGAGTGAATAAATCTGTCTATATTCAAGCAGAATACAAAGATAGATAGATGGTGGAAACTGCTGTGGGGTCTTGAGCTGTGGAACGCTATCTTGTTTGTTTCTTAAGCCTGTGGCTGTTGCAGGCACTTTAGAACCTTCCCCCTTTTTCCTGTAATTGAAATTTTCATAATCTCATCACCAGGAATGTAATCTCTTAATTGAGAGAAGGGAAGAGAAGCCACCTAAATTGGGCTTGACTATAGGGCATTGGGTTTTGTGGGATGAAAAGGGGGAAAACAGAACGGGAGATCCATTTATCCCAGACACCAAGAAGGGATCTCAGACTTTGGAGACTGAAGCAACTCAGCTTAGGAGGGGAAAGGTTTTCCCACCCTTCTTCTCAAACCAAAAAAGTTCCTTAATCCTTGCCCACCCCTTTGGGAAGTGGTTCCAAGCTTACATTTCCAAGACAGGATGCCCAAGGCATCTCACCTGTTGTGGGCACTCTAAAAAGCTTTCATCTCCTAATTAGCCATGTTCTTAGTATTGTCAAAGGACCAGGCTTCTCGAGAGGAAAGACTGTAAATGTGCCCTTGCTCTGCCAAGCTGCGGGACTGATTTGCATGGCAGTTGCAACCCTTTCTGAAATGAACAGCACCCTCCCTTCTCTTATATCCATGCAGATTTCTTTCTTTCTTTTTCTTTTTTTTTTGGGGGGGGGACAGGCGGGCGGCAGGATCCCATGTTTAATATTTGCTAGCCTGGAACTCACCATGTAGACCAGGACTGCTTCTGAGTCACAGAGATCCACCTGTCTCTACCTCCTACCAAGCCCAGCCTAGCAGTTATCACTCTTAACTAAGTTGGAAACACTACTAGGGAAGAGCTTGCTATTAGGAAGCCGTTGTAACAGGCTTATCTTGACCAGGCTCAACTTTTCCTTAATCACCCATATGAGACACTTTCTTTTAAATTTTCTGTTGGGCCAGGCATGGTGGCACATGCCTTTCATCCCAGCACTTGGGAGCAAGAGTCAGGTGGAGCTCTATGAGTTTGAGGCCAGCCTGGTCTACATAGTGAGTTCTAGGCCACCTAGGGCTACATAGCAAGACCTTGTAAAAAAGGGAAAAAAAACAAATTTCTTTATTGGAAATGCCATATTTGGGGGTGGATATGTTAATCTAAGTTAGAACTCCTTTATCTTCTGCCCTGTCCACGTTCTCACCTTGGGACCATCTTCACATCTATTAAGTGAAGATGTGAACAGGGCTCTTGCCAGAGATAATGGCAGTTTACCTTGGGAACAGATGCTGATGGCCTTCTGAGTCAAGATAACTTTGTAGACTTACTTTCGTTGTCAGGGGATATATCCAGGAGAGTCTTTGTAACCGTTTCTAAGGTTGGGATTGGCCCTGTGCCCTTCTCTAACAAGAGTAGGCTTGGTTGGAGCAAGTGAAACCCCAGGAAGTAACTCCATGAGTTTGCATGGCTCCAGCACCACCCCTCAAGGACCTCAGATCAGCTCTCTTGGATGACGTCGGCTACATCAGGAAGAAGTGCATCTGTTGTGGAACTGGAGGATGAAAGAGAGTGAGAAAGGGCCTCCTTACCCTACCCACATGGTTCTAAGAGACAAATGCCCAGGTTTTAACCACTTGGCCTCTCACCAAAGCTGTTCTGGGAGGGTGAGGCTGGAATTGGCCTGGTTGGATGGCAGGAATTAACCACCAAATGCCTTTACAACAGGAAGAAACACACCCCTTGCCTGTTCAGGTCAGCCTAAGCTCCTGTTTATATTTGGCTGCCATCCACAGCAGGCAGTAGAACTGTCAACAGCCTCCGTGGCCCCCTGGAAAAGGGCTGCTAGCCTGTTTGGGAAGAGGAAGAGGTAATTCACCTATAGCTGAGGGTTACCCTCCTGGTTCAGAATGACAGCACTGTGCAGTGTCTCTGAAGGGACCTGCCATAACTCTGACACATTTTGCTGTGCTTTGAAAAGTCATGCCTCAGAGTAGGACCTGGGGCTAAGTAGAAGTTTGTGGACTGGATAACATCATTGCCTCAAAGTCCTTCCACTGACGTGGCTGCTAACCCAGGGACAAAGCCTTCACAACCTAAAATGGAACAGCTAAGATGTATGGCTACAGAAGCAAACTCCTTTATAAAACAAATACTAGCTGCAGCCTAGAAGAGGAAGGAAGATTTGGCTGAGGACATATTGTAATGACAACATGGTTAACAGTGGGAAATGCAGCCCATCTCCAGGTATCTGTCCAAACATGGGCACCTACTTCCTTGCCTGACACCAAATACGCTCCCAACTCCCAGAAGTGTTGATATCATGTCCACACTGAGGCTGGGGCCAGATGAACCTCCTGTCTCCGTTGTGGGTCCTCAGACAATGCATTTGGTCGTGACTTAGGGGAAGACGTGATGAGAGAGGAGGGCTAGCATCATTTTGTTACCCAATAATAATACTATAGTGTCAGTTCTGATCCTGAGAATTTCTTGATAGCCCAGTCCTTAGAGGACCAGTGAATGTGGGTAAGGAAGGCCACCTAGCTGGCCTCTTCCAAAGCCAAGATGCCAATTTCTTGGTGCTTTAGAATCTCCAAGGAAGCCCTGCCTTGGGGATCATCTGGCTTTCGCTTAGATACCAGACCACAAGCCTCGTGGATAATGGTTTCGGTAAATGCCAGCGTCCCTCCTTTTAGTGCTATACCAAGGAGGGAAGTAGCTTTCCACACTCAGAGTGCTGGGTGCATGCTCTCATCCTGCCATCAGTGGCTTCTGTCACCGGCACCAGTGCCACCACTGCCCTCGGCCCCTAGGCTCACTTGCTAGAGGGAGGCATGGGGGTTTACCAGGGATACTTCAAGTTTACCCATATGTATGTTGCATCCAAGTTGTTTTTAATATATATATAAATATATATCAAAAGCCAATTATCTATTTTTATATTGTTTGCATTTTATAGTCATGGAAACAATGTTTATCAATTGTTCTTTTCTGATATATTTTATTTTTAAGCGGTGCTGTTTACAGTTTTAAACAAAAAAAAAAGATGATACAAAAAGTGCTGCTGCTTGTGCAGAGGGATGTCATCTCAACTGTCTAGGGCCCTCCCTCTTGTCCCTCTCCCACCTGGCTGTGTCACATTAGTCATTCTCTTCTCACACGGTAAGGACAGAAGATGCCCAGGTACCGAAGACCAATACTGGGTAACTCAGGCACGTAGAACCTGGCAGACAGCATGTTTTTTTAGCTTTAATTTTCCCTTTTGAGCCCTCCTTTCTCCATGCATAGACATTCTGAGAGTACTCATGCCTCTTGACTTGTATTCTTTTCCTTTCTTTATGTTTTACGCTTCTGTTTGCAAAGCATTCTGCCCACATTGTGCGGTTGGTTGTATTAAGTTTGCCCAAAGGAGCATTAGGGGTACATTCTTCACCAAGAGACTTGGGATGACAGATGACAATGATATTTGTTCCACCAGGAATTGGTCATCTCTTGGCGGAAACCCTTGAATGGCACTTACCAGGAACTTAGTAGATTATGACATTGTCCAGAAAAGACATTAGATAAGTTCCTTGCTCCCTCTTGCTACTTTGGGAGAATCTCTCCCCTCCTGCCTCCTCCTTCCCTTCCCTGTTGCAGCTCACAAGTGGATGGCACTTTTGGAAACAGAACTCTTGTCTTTTGGGTTGTAAGCCTTAGCCTTTAACGGCTGAGCCGCCTCTTTAGCCAGGATGGCACTTTGGGGAATGGTGACTATTACAGTCATGGCTGGGTGGCCTGATCCACGGTTTCTCCATCCTATAATCATTCCAAAGAAGAAAATCCACATGGCATGTATATTGGTGAGGGTTGGGTCTATGAAGAGGGGGCTTTAATTATTCCTATTACTATTGGTGCTTTTTTCCCCTGCTATATATGGGGGTGGGGAAGGGCTGGGGTAAACCAGGAATGTATATTTAGGTCATGTTAAATAAAATGGCTGGGGGAAGGAGAAAGATATTAGGAATTGCAGTCCATCCCCACTCCATGTGTAAGAGTTCTCTCTTCCAGTATAGAAAGGGGAGTGTAGCTCTTCGCTGTGCCTGAGCTTCCCTTCCCCATTCCTGGGACATCACAGAATCATCTGCATTGTGACCTCTCCATCCCTAGCACTCGCTGGCATATGGATATCTTGATACACTGCCTGTATGTTACAACATATATTTCATTTGCTGAATGCTAATAAACTTCTGGGTTCTTGAGGGACCTCCAGTCGCTAAGTGTTTTCTTGTTGTTTGTTCCACAATAGCAGCCCTGTGATCTGTGGCTGATGGGTTTGCTCTGGAAGGGAAATTGAAACACCGAGAAATGGAGGGAGTTACTCAGCAGGGGAAACAGGCCCCAGCTGAAGCTGTACATGTTACATTCACCCTGTGCCTTGTATCCTAGTCAAGTCTCATTATACCATTTACACTTTAAGACCTATCCCTGAAGTTCCTGAACATTTTCAGGGACTGATTTGTGCTTCTGAAGGCAGTCTCAGGTTTTGCTCTCTCTCATCCAGAAAGGAGCACAATGGGAGAGATCCCTGGATTCCCTTCTCAACCCAGCGAAGAAGCTAAGGGGTCTCCCAGGGTCTCGTGAATCATGGAAAGTCAGAAAGAAATTAAGAGAAAATAGAGAATTTCATCAGAGGAAAGTTGATATTTCACACACAAAAAAAAAATGATTTCTGTGTCCTGTGCTGCTCGGTTAGGGAATGGTAGTTGTGATTGCCAAGGGGGATTTTGGAGCAAAAACATTGCTGAAATCTATCTAGTCTGACTGCGTCCATTGGAAATCCACTGGAATTATATCAAAGTGGCCCAGGTCTCTCCCCTAATTTCTTGTGCCTTGATCAATTGACCATCAGTAATTTCCTTCAATGCAAATTAAGATATTAGGTTATGTCTGAGTAACTCATGTGATGTTTTGTTCTGTTTTGAGACAGGATCTCACTGTAGCCTGGCTCTCCTGGAACTCGTTGTATGGACCAGGCTGACCTCCACTCAAGATGTACCTGCCTCTACCTCCCTAGTGCTGGGATTAAAGACATGCAACACCACACCCAGCATCCTACAAGGACTTTTTCAACTAAGTTGAGCCTTTTTTCCACATTGATTTTAAATCAGTTGAACTGAAGTAGGGTTCTGTTACTATTTGTTGCCCACATGACCTACTGGACAAAATAGGTGGAAAACGTGCTTCCTTTTTTATACAGACAGATGGCTGCCTTGGCTGTGGTCCCTTAGAAAGTCTTTTCAAATGAAGGAAACATAATTGTGGAGGGAACTTGCTAAGAACCATATAAATACACACACACACACACACACAGAGAGAGAGAGAGAGAGAGAGAGAGAGAGAGAGAGAGAGAGAGAGAGAGAGAATTTCATACATATAAACTGGATTTTGATCATACCCACTTTCAGCTCACCCACCTCAACTCCTCCTACACCAAGTAACTCACTTCAGTCTGTTCCATGCTGTTCTGTGCTTTGTTTGAGAGCCAGGGTTCTGCCTGCAGAGAAGTCTGCCTTCTGTTTCCCTTTGGAGCAGAAGTAAACAGAACAGATAAGGACTCTGTACAAGCTATTTAGGGACTGCTAAGGGCAGGCTGCTAATGTCCCACTGCTCTGCACGTAAGGAGGGGTCTTGGTCCTACTAACTTCTCATTCCTTTGGATAATTCCTAAGTTTTAGCTAGACTACAAAGTTTCTGCAAGTTAGTTTCAGCCAGAAAAATCAAGTGACCCAAGGGCATCATGTTCTCATTTAAAAATCTCTTCCACATCTTTCCTCCTAGGAGATGCTAAAAGGCAGGTAGACAGAGCCAGTGATTTCATCCCTGGTTTATACGTAAGAAGTTGGAACATGGAGAAGTGGTTTGCATATTACCATGCAGAATAGTGACTGCAAGTCGGTGCCAAGCAGCCTGGAGTGGAAGACAAAGTTCATTGCTAAGAATTCTCTAAACACAGCATGAATGGTATCCTTGATATGTGCCAGACGCTAGACACTTTAACTACATTTTCTCATGTAATACTCACATAAATCTATGAGGCTGGCATTGTTATTATCTCTGCTTTTAGATAAAATGGAAGGGAAGCTCAGATCCTTTAAAACCCTTGGCTACATTCTCTCAGCCAGATCCCTGGACTTCAAAGCTCTCTCTTTTTCCCATTGCACTGTAAAGCTGTTAGTCAGCTTTACAGTGTGGACGGATTCTAGGAATGCCCCCAGCAGCTTGCCCCAGATCAGAGAGTGCTGCTGAAAGATACCATTTGCTGCTTCCCGTCCTCCTGAGACCTAAGCTAGCTATCCAGCCTGTTTCAGCATAACAGCATCTGAATCCCATGTAAGCGTGGGCTTGCAGTACCTCCTCTCGCTCCTACCCCCATGCTGACATTTCTAGTCACTGTACCTAGTCGGGTGGGCCCAACCATCCTTTCACTTGAACGTGCTAGTAAGTGGGCTGAGGAAATATGATAGGTACCAGAGAGTCAGTGGATATGCGTACTTGGATAGTTGGCAAATGAGCCTTCTGCCACTCAGACCTTCAGCATCAGCTGAAGAATATCCTCATGAAGAGTTACTTAGTTGTAAGTCATTTGAATAACCACAGCAGAGAAATGCTCTTTCTCTGAGACAATTGCTGCCTACTGTGCTTCTAGGTTTTATTTCTTCTGTTTTGTTTTTCATAAAGAGGCTGTATAGGTTGAGCTGGCATTGAATTCTATGCAGAACAGCCTTCAATTGAACTCGGAGATTAGCCTGGCTCTGACTCCCAAATGCTGGAATTAAAGATATGTGCTGCCATGCCTGGCTTGTGTCCTTTTGAAAACTCCCTCTTTTATTCCTTCAGTTTCTTTCTTCTTTTCTGATTTCCTTCCACTTGATGCTGGAGCACAGATTTTTTTTTCCATCATTCTGATGCACAAAACAGTTTCACTGTGGCTTCCCAAGATCTCCCGTGTAGCACCATCACCAACAGGAAGGGCATGCTCTGTGGATAACAAATTCAGATCAAAAGAAGCCAAAAAAGAAATAAATATCCATCTCTGTGTATAAACTCACACACCGGTAGGCAAGAAATAGTCATTTTTTTTAGATACCTTAAAGTAACTTAATTATGACTCCCAGGCTTCCCATTCTAATAGGGAAGTTGAAAATCCCATGTCATTCATTATTGGGGTTTCTTCCTATTCAAGCACTGAAATGCAAGGAAGTTTGTGGTGTCCAGAAATTAAGGCAGTCTCCTAATCTCAAATCCGACAACCTCATTTTCCATGCCGACAGCAAGGAAAAAGGCAGGAGCCCCACATATTTAGGTTCTGCCTCCCTCTGAAAACCATGGAGCATTTCTTCCCCACTCAGGAACTGCTAAGAATTCCTACAACTCAAACACAGGATCTCTCCCCCACCCCCACCCGTGGGGATAGGAATGGTAGAGATGTTTCTTTTTCTCTCTCCGTGTCTCTCTCTGCTCCCCAAGGTCTCTTCCTTCACCCTTTTGCTTTTAGGGGTCTTTAGGCTGTTGTACAAAGGAAGATGAACTTGCTGCTTTCAGCTTTCAGCACTACAAAATTGTATTGCAAGAGCTCTATCAAATGGCTGGAGATTCAGATCAATAGTAGAGCACAAAGCTCTGAGTTCTCCTACAGGAATCCTCCCACCAAAATAACAACAACAACCACAACAAACAAACAAACCTGTTGGCCAGTAAGCTTGCTGGATGATCCCTGCCTGTAACCCAGGCGCTCAGAGGCAGAGACAAGAGGATCATTCAAGGACAGTGTGGGCTGTGTAGAAAGACCCTGATTCAAAAGACCAAAGCAAAACTGAAAACCAAACAAAAAATTAAGAAGTCTGTTGAGGACCTGTTTACTTCTGTTGAACAAGGCAGTGGGTAGTGAAGACATAGAGAGACAATAGGCATAATCATTAAGTATTTTTCTCTGGGAGATGGTGGCTGATGCCTTTAATCCCACCACTTGGGAGGCAGAGGCAGGCAGATCTCTGAGTTCAGGGCCAGCCTGGTCTACAGAGCAAGTTCCAGGACAGCCAGGCCTACACAGGAAAACCCTGTCTCAACAAACAAACAAACAAACAAATAAAAACTTAAGTGTTTTTCAAAAGATACCTTAATTACAAAGACTGGGGAAATAAAGGGTTTTCGCTAACCAAGAATTTAGGACATCAGAATTAGAGATTGCTTCACGTTGCCCCCTTTGGCGCTTGAGTCTCCTCTACACCATCTGTCCTATGTCTGCTTGCCTCCACTGGCACAGGTTACTGGAGAAACTTTCTTCTTCATTGACTTACCTTAATCCCTGGTGGCCACATAATTCTTCTGCTACCTACTCCTCTTTTCTGTATTTACAACTTTTGAAGCTCTGAAGGCAAAGGTAGTGCTGTTCTTCGTTCCAACAGATACTAAGGTGCCTCTGATGTGCCAGGTGTTGTTCTCGACTGTGGATGCAGTGATGAAAAAGAAAGAAAATGTTCCCTCAAAAACCTTGCTCTTGTCAGAGGAAACAATAAACAAAAGATGGAAATACACTAGTACAGTGGAGGAAATAAAATAAAATTGAGTATAAGACATGATAAGCACAGTTTTAAGTAAAATGGCCAGAGAAGACTCACTCAGCAGGTCATACCTGAGAGATGAGCTAAAGCTCTGGGGTAAGCTTAGATAACGTATTCTAGGAGTAAACACTAGTCCAGTGTTGCTGAAGCAGAGTGAATGAAGGCACAGGGATGGAGGTAAAATTACAGATATAGTTCTAGAGCCTGAGAATTTAAAAGGGCTTTACTGACATGGAAACAGCATAGTCTCAGACTATTCCTTTAGCTTTGTCTTGTTCTTCTCAGGCTACTATTACAAGATACCATTAACCAACTCATTTCTAAACAACTGAAGCTTATTTCTTACAGTTCTGAAGGCTACGTCATCCAAGATCAAAGCACCAGCAGATTTGATGTGTACTGGGGGCTGGCTCACTCTCTGACAGATGCTATCTTTTCAACTGTCCTCACATAGGGGGCAGAGGCAAGTCATCTCTACTGGGCCGCTTATAAAGGGGAGTAATTGCATTCATGAGGATGGAACACTCAGGACTTAGTCATGTTCTAACACCTCCCCTTTTAATAGTATTGTAGTTAGAACTAGGTTTCAGCACATGAATTTTAGGGCTATGTAAACATTGAGACTGTGGCAAGTTCTTCCCATTGCCTCAT